ACTGACTTTACAGCTGTGTGGCCACAGGCAAATTTCTTGTCCTTGAGCCTATAAAACCTGCTTCACTGAGTGTTTATGAAGATGAACTGAGGTCCACGTAAAATGTTTACTGCAGCACTGGCACTCGGCAGGCTCTCAAGCAAGCTCCCTCTCTGCCTGTGTGTTTATATGGTCCCCGAGGTCTGCCTCGACGTGGCGCTTCCTACACGAGTCACAGTGCCAGGCACGTGGGGCTCAGTACGTGTGGGCGGAATGGACTGTGTACGCAACAGTAGTAGTCAGACGCATTTCACATTCATCAAACATGCATGGAAAGGGAACGTTAGGAAAAAAAAAAGTCTATACAAAAGTCTCTCCTGGAGCTGCCTGGAAGATTGCAAACAATAATGAGAATTGTGATATGAGACCATCTGGCCAAATGCTAAGGCTACAGCACCTTCCCCCTGGGTCCACTGATTGATCAGGGAGAAAGGAAGTGGGCGAGCATTCCAGGAGGAGCAGGTGCAAAAGACATTTCAGGGATGAGGGGCTGGTTCGGGTGGAAGCAGGTGGCTGGATGAGGTTTGACGATGGTGGAACAGAAACATGAGGCCAAGGACCAGCTGTATCCCAAAGTTAGGGTTTTGGGGACCAGCATGTGGTGTGGTGGTTAAGGCACTGGACTCCCACATGGCCGAGCGCATTCGAGCTCCCCTGTTTGGGGTTTGGGCGTGACACAGCTGGTTCTGGGGTGCTCAGAGAGATTTGCCAGCGGTAGGGTAACCTGCTCGGGTTAATAGAGGGAGACACTGGCATGTGCTGGAGAGCCTGTGTGGGGTGGGCCGCAGGGAAGACCAGCAGCACACAAACGGTAGGCTCACTTAGTGATAACCTTTAACTTCCCAGGAGGACACACCAGTATCTCTTGAGGTCTTTATTCAGAAGACCCTGAAGCTCTAGCACCTTAGCGTCATTTATAAAGCAGTGTCTGTCACCATGGACAGCAAAGCAGGGCTCTGTTATAGGTGAGGTACGGTATGGTCTAGATTTTGGAACTCTCTGGGCTGGAACAGCACCTTCCCAGGGAGTGTGAGTGGATTCCCTTGTAACTGGAGTATGTGGTTCCTAAGCTAAAGGAGGGCCAGTCCCATAGCCTAGTGGTTAAGGGAGCCAGATCCCACCTAGCCAAGCACAGTTGGAATCCCAGCCCTGGGACCTTGAAGAAACATTCCAGGCATGTATGCCTTCATGCCCAAAGTCCCAACAGGATAGAGATGGAGGAGAGAGGATTGCAGTATGACCATGCCCCATTGGGATGTGCGTTCTTCCTCTCCCTTTCTCTCTGTCTCTATCAAATGAGTGTCTGCACTCTATAGTAAACATCTAAGAAGGAAAAAAAAAACCAGGCTAGATACAATCTATTAGTTAAGGGAGCTGGATTCCATATGGTCAACCGTGGTTTGAATCTCAGTCCAGGAAGCATGCCAGGTGTGTGTGCATGTATGCCCAGAATTTTGACGGGAGAAAGAAATGGAAGAGAAGGGATTAAGGCATGACTACACTCTCTACACTCTCTCGAGGGGGGCCTTTTCTCTTTGTCTCTCTGGCCAGTGCATATACCCTCTGGCAAAAAGAGAAAAAAGGG